TATAATATTATATAATATCATATAATATCGCATAATATCATATAATATCATATAACAATTATAAATTTAAATAATTTTTCAATATAAATATTTTCGTAAAAACTAAATAAATATGTTCATAATTATTATATATGTAAATATTAATTTTTATTTATTTATATATTTTTATGTAATTATATTATTTTTTGTTCTTTTATATTATTTATTTTATTTCTGATTCTTCTTCCTCGTCGTCCTTCGGCTTAGTCTATTGATGGGGTCCCTGTTCATTGTTTATATAGATATTTTGACATATTTAGATATATAAGTTAATTAAATATATGATATTTAATCTTTCATCTTTATTGATTTCCCATGGATTATCAGAGAGATTGACAGCAATAAACCCAAAAATTGAATAGGAAGATGTCCGGAATTCCCAGCAGATTAGCAAGTCGAGTGACGCACTACCAAATTAAAATGATTATATTTGCAACGAAGGTAAAAATTATACCAATTAATTGCGAAGGAATTTTGAACAATTACCTTCCATCTAGCATTAGCCAAGTCATTAAGTATTGTAACCCTCCGAAATCGGAGATTTCGAAAGCACCCAGTCCTCGTCCACATCAACACTTCCTGTGATGATCAATTGCCAAATCCTGGAAGCTTGGGGCCCCAACACGGCATTGAGGCTTCCCCAATGGCTATACCGGGATTCACCGGGCATATCATATTGGGAATCAATTATATTATAATATAACATATACCCCAATAGTATATAGTATATTAAAGTATATTAAAGTATATTATAGTGTATTATAGTATATTATAGTATATTATAGTATATTAAAGTATATTGTAGTATATTATAGTATATTATAGTATATTATAGTATATTATAGTATATTAAAGTATATTATAGCATATTATAGCATATTATAGCATATTATAGTATATTATAGTATATTATAGTATATTATAGTATATTATAGTATATTATAGTATATTATAGTATATTATAGTATATTATAGTATATTATAGTATATTATAGCATATTATAGTATATTATAGTATATTATAGTATATTATAGTATATTATAGTATATTATAGTATATTATAGTATATTATAGTATATTATAGTATATTATAGTATATTATAGTATATTATAGTATATTATAGTATATTATAGTATATTATAGTATATTATAGTATATTACAGTATATTATAGTCTATTATAGTCTATTATAGTCTATTATAGTGTATTATAGTGTATTATAGTATATTATAGTATATTATAGTATATTATAGTATATTATAGTATATTATAGTATATTATAGTATATTATAGTATATTATAGTATATTATAGTGTATTATAGTGTATTATAGTATATTATAGTATATTATAGTATATTATAGTATATTATAGTATATTATAGTATATTATAGTATATTATAGTATATTATAGTATATTATAGTATATTATGGTATATTATGGTATATTATGGTATATTATAGTATATTATAGTATATTATAGTATATTAGAGTATATTAGAGTATATTAGAGTATATTAGAGTATATTAGAGTATATTACAGTATATTACAGTATATTACAGTATATTATGGTATATTATAGTATATTATAGTATATTATAGTATATTATAGTATATTATAGTATATTATAGTATATTATAGTATATTGTAGTATATTATAGTATATTATAGTATATTATAGTATATTATAGTATATTATAGTATATTATAGTATATTATAGTATATTATAGTATATTATAGTATATTATAGTATATTATAGTTGTATGATGTCTCCACGATTTTCGGGATAGTCCCCTACCATGAGCGCCGATCTCAAGGGCACCTCACTCCAAAGACTTGCCAAATGCGCGGCAGCCAGTAGAGCTGACGCGGCGAAGCCCCGACACATTAGAAACCAAAAAACTTGATAGAAAAATGCAACGCAACAGAAAGTAGGAAACGAAAGCCAGCTAATGCAACAGAGAATACACGTAAAGAAAGATAGTACATTACAGAAAAGGTAGAATCTAGATAGGGAGCAGGAATCAAGGTTTGAGAAAAAGGAACCTCAAATGCATAAATAGAATTCAATTAGCAAAGGATGTCAATTTCTTCAAGACGCGCAGCATGTGAGCATGGAGCTGAGAGAAGATATTTCAACAAAACCAGCGTTGTTGCTGTCTGGGCGGCCCTTTCACTCGAAGAGTGATGAAGAATTCTGTCCGCCCAGTATCAAGTAACCACAAGAAGTCCTGGTCAATGCATTTTGGGGGCCTACATGAAGGAAATTCATTTGGGAGGGGTCAATCTTATGAACCTACGAAACAACCAAACCTTGCACACGGCCCCATTTCCCCCGATTCGGACCACCTGCACCACTACCTCAAATCCAGGATTGCATGCAGACTGAAAGTGAAGTGACTGGAAGCACCCAAACAATGCTTGGATTCATGTTTCTGGTGAAATCAAAAAATCCAAAACTGCCTTGCTTTTCCATCCTAGTTTTGAAGGCTGGAATCCCACCCGTCAAGCCTTCAATTATACGCATCCTTCCAAGATGGAGTTTGGCGGTGGGCATCTGTACATATCTACATGTTGGATTTACAAATGATATAATCATATTAAATAATACAACATGATATGATATAATATAATATAATATAATATAACATAATATAACATCATATAACATAACTACACGTAACATAATATAATACAATATAGAACCATAATATAAGATAAGATAATATAATATAATATTAATATAATGTAATATAATATAATATAATGTAATATACTATAATATAATATAATACACTATAATATCATAGAAAAGAATAGAATAGAATAGAATACTATATAATATAATCTAATATTATATTATATTATATTATATTATATATTTTATTTTATTATATTTACTATATTATATATATGTAAAACAAACATGTGTATGATTGTGCATGTATGTATATGTGTTTCATTGTGCATATATATATATACATACATGCATAAAGGTACGCGACTTTATGGATACTAATGTAAAGGTAGTGCATGTAGTACATTTCAAAATGTATATTAAGTATCTGTTTCTACATCATATATGTATGATTTATTAAATGATAATATAAACCATTACACACACATCTACTTAAGTAAGTTTATGTGTGTCTACAGAGCATATATGATTAGATGTACATATATATAATATATATACACTGTACATATACATATACATATTATGGTGTAATTATATGTATGAATGTAATGTAAATGTAATGTGAATGTAATGTAAATGTAATGTAAATGTACTGTAAAACTAATGTAAATCTAATGTAAATCTAATGTAAATGTAATTCAAATGTAATGCAAATGTAATGAACATGTAGTGTAAATGTAATGTAAATGCAATGTAAATGTAATGTAAATGGAATGTAAATGTAATGTAAATGTAATGTAAATGCAATGTACATGTAATGTAAATGGAATGTAAATGTAATGTAAATGTAATGTAATATGTACATGCACATGTAAATGTACATGTAATGTGTATATATATATATGCTGTGGTGTGACTCCATGCGATCTTTAGTATATTATACGTGGCTGACATGCCAAATGACATGTCAAGCATTCACCATCTGTTGAATGCCATCAATACTAGGCTCTTAGTCTTAAGACTAGGCCCTTTTTGGACTTGATGCTGGAGATTGTTTGGGAGAAAGGGGGTAACATACTGCTCGGTGTGGGTGGGAGGGCAACTGGACCGAGGACAAGGAACATATATGATTTTAAATATGTGTTTAAATTTCTGTGTGCAGTGCGTATGATTATCTATCTATACGTGTAGTTATGTGCGCATGATTATTTATCTTTCTATTCATGTATTTACTACCTACCTGCCTACCTGCCTACCTGCCTACCTGCCTACCTGCCTAACCTGCCTAACCTGCCTAACCTACCTTACCTACCTTACCTAACCTACCTAACCTACCTAAACCTACCTAACCTACCTAACCTACCTAACCTACCTAACCTACCTAACCTACCTAACCTACCTAACCTACCTAACCTACCTAACCTACCTAACCTACCTAACCTACCTAACCTACCTAACCTACCTAACCTGCCTAACCTGCCTAACCTACCTAACCTACCTAACCTACCTAACCTACCTAACCTACCTAACCTACCTGCCTGCCTGCCTGCCTACCTACCTACCTACCTAACCTACCTAACCTACCTAACCTACCTAACCTACCTAACCTACCTAACCTACCTAACCTACCTAACCTAC